CTAAAAGAAATCACTTTGGTAGCAGTGTAACAGATAGATTAAAGCAGGGAAAGATTTGAGGCAAGAACGGTTAGTAGTCTGTTGTACTACACCTGAGAGATGAGGAAGAACTGAATTATGGTCGTAACTGTGTGAGTACAAAGGAATCAGATATAAGAAGTTATAGAAGTAGAACCAACAAGATTTGGCAATGAATGGCTGTGTGGGCTGAGGGAGAGTAAATAGCGAGTTATTTTGGAGATTGGGGGGTGGGTTTATGGGTTGTTTTTTTTGTTTTTTGTTTTTTTACATTCTCTAGTGAACTGTGAAACATTATAGAAGAGTGGCATTAAAACTTAATTATTTGTCTTAATATTTTGAGGGAATCTCTGCAAGTGTTGTGCAAAGCTCTTACAGAAAAACACTTCACAAATAACAGCGGTTTTAGGTTAGAAGGGATCTAATTCAACCATTTCCACCCCTACCAAGGAATCCTATTAACTACACATCCACTAAGCAGTCGTCCAACCTATGCTAGAAAACCTCCAATCAGTGGGGAGCTTGCTACCCCCAAGGCATTCCACTTTTATGTAACTCTGATTGTTTGGAATTTTTTTCCTGTTTCATGTCTAAATTTACCTCTTTCAAATTCCCTGCTTTGCTCCTGGTTGTGCTCTCTGGGGCCAGAAGGAATAAGGTTATTCCCTCTTCCACATGATAGCCCTTCAAGTACTTAAAGATGTCAGGTTCTGAGTCATCTCTTTTCCAGAATAAACATATCCGCTTTCTTCAAATGAACCTCAGACAGCATGAACTCCAGTCCCTTCATCATCCAGTTGCTCTCTGAACAATATCCAGCTTATTTTTGTCCCTAAACTCTAGTGAGCAGAACTCAGCACAGTACTCCAGATGTGGGTTGACAATGGCAGACTATAGAGAGACTGTCACCTCTTTATTCCAGGAAGCTGTTCTCATTGTAGCCCCATACCTCATTAGTTCTTTTGGCTATTTTACCACACTGGTAGCTCATATTGAACTTGTCCACCAAAATCACCAGATCCTTTTGAGATAAACTGCTGTCTAAAAATGTCTTCCCCATCGTATACTTGAGAATTCAGTTTTGGGAACACAAGTACAAGAGCCAGTCAAGATCTTTTTGGTTCCTGGTTGCCATCCAGTTTATTAGCTATCCCTCTCAGCTTTGTTTGCTAATTTGATAAGCAAATTCTGGTTTGTCTACTCATTGAATTTATTTAGGTACGGGGAAGCAAGGTGGGAAAAGGGGTTTTTTTTCCTTTTTTTTGTAGTTTTTGTGTTTAATTTTTATTACCTAAATCCAGAAACTTACCCACGGTTTTAAAGAGTTTTATTATATTATTTCAAATTTGTTTCATCTTGGCATTTAAAGGCTTCTCTGGCAGCCGTAATGTTTTAAAGACAAAATTTGGAGAAATTAATTCTGTCACATTATGTTTTATGGCCTGCTTCTTCATTAGTCTCTAACACTTACCTTATCCAATCTGTCATTATTTTCTCATTTTATTGGATTGTTTAATACATTCACAATTTCTTTTAGAAGTTTTTTTTAAATTGTTTTTGTTTATTTTTAGTTTTCAGCATTCACTTTTATAAGATTTTGAGTACTAAATTTTTCCCCTTCCCCCCTCCCTAAGACAGCATGCAGTCAGATATAGGCTATGCATGTACACTTATATTAAACAAATTTCCACATTAGTCATGTTGTAAAGAAGAATTAGAACCAAAGGGCAAAACCATGAAAAAGAGAAAATAGTATGCTTCCATCTGCATTCAGACTCCATAGTTCTTTCTCTTGATGTGGATAGTATTTTCCTTCATGAGTCTTTTGGAATTGTCTTAGATCATTGCATTGCTAAGAAGAGCTAAGTCTATCAAAGTTGGGGTCATCACACAATGTTGCTATTATTGTGTACAATGTTCTCCTTGTTCTGCTCATTTCATTCAGCATCAGTTCATGTAAGTCTTTCTAGGTCTTTCTGAAATCCACCTACTCATCATTTCTTATGGAATAATAGTATTCCATTACATTCATATACCATAGCACGTTCAGCCATTCCCCACTTGTTGGACATCTCCTCAGTTTCCAAGTCTTTACTCCCACAAAAAGAGCTGCTATAAATATTTTTATACATTTAGGTCCTTTCCCCCTTTTTATGATCTCTTTGGGAGATACAGACCTAGTAGTGGTATTGCTGGGTCAAAGGGTATGCATGGTTTTATAGCCCTTTGTTCCAAATTGTTCTCCAGAATGGTTGGATCAGTTCACAGCTCTACCAACAATGCTCCATTCATATTTAAAGTTGTGAGAGTTAGGTTCATATTTTTCTCTATTTTTAATATTGGGTTTTTCAGATTATTTTTCCCCCTCTTCTACTGTAAACACTACTCTATACCTTTAGTTACTTTACCTTATCTTTTTTAAAGATGTCCCACTGGCTCTCTTCCTCTCATTCCTGATCCCCTCTTCCCATTGTTACCCTTTTTGCTTTGGGATTTTACATATTACTTCAATTTTCTTTCCTCCTAGTTATATAATTCTTCCCCTCATTTTTTCTCTCAGTCAGGTAGAACCCTCCTCCCTCTCCTCCCCTTCAAGTCTTGATCATTAGTCTTTTGTTTGTGTGTGTGTGTGTGTGTGTGTGTCCCTTTCCAAAAAGGATTTCTCCACTCTGTTCATTATGGATATTTATTATGTTCATTATATCTCTCTAGACCCTCATTCTCTGATTCATGACCCTTATAATTATGTAGTCTCTCTGTTCTCTGTATTCCTCATGCAATCAGAACTTCCAAGGTAACCATCTCCGCCAAACTTCTGCCTTCTCAGCTATCTCCTTTTGTACATTTGGAAAGAAATGTCTTACTGATCTCTTTGTCATTTTTGTTGTCTTTAACCACATTCCTGTTATTTGGGGTTTTTGAGAAACAAATAATCTCTTCAGTTCTGGTTTTCTTTCCAAGAATGTTTCAAAATCCTCTTTGTTATTAAACTTTCATCTTTTCATTTATAATTAAGCTCACATTTGCAAGATAGGTCACACTGGGCTGTATCCTAAGCTCCATTGCTTTTCTGCACACACTCTGTTCTCTCCCTACATTTTCTGGTGAGTACAGAATAGTCTTGTATTCATTCATTTTGCTGTCTTGGGTTTTTGTTCTTTTGTTTTTTCCTGGAGGTAATCTTTGAATTCTTTCCATTGTTACTTAATTTTCCACGTTTAGAAGTTCTGGGCAGTTCTTTTCTATTATTTTGTGCATTATGATGTGTGTATATTTTTGTTTTTGTTTTGTCCTATTATGTTCTACATATGTGTGTTTTACTTACATAGTGAACACATTCTCTTTTAATGTTATTCTTTTTTGATTCTCTTCTTCTAGATAGTCCTTTACTTCGGTATATTTGCACTCTGAATCTATTGTTCTCTCTTGTTTCTCTGATGAGACATGCCATCAGATTCCAGTTTTTCTATTCTGCCTGTTATTTTTGCAATGTAGGCCATAAATTCTGCTTTCAGAATTCCCATTTCTCTTTTAAAAAAAAAAAAGAATATTACTGAGGGGTCTTAGTAACAGAGTACTGTGGTTCCATGCTATCACATTCCACAGGATACTCCATCTTATGAAGTGTTTCCCTTTGTTTTGTAATATTTATTCATAGATGTCTGGATTTGTTTACTAGACGTGTAGGGCACTTTTCTTGTTTTTAATAATTTTCCTGCTTATGCACTTATGTTTAAGGTCTTTGAGTTTTCATTTTCCTGAGACATATGGTAGTTTTAGTCTTTTTTTCTCCTCATTTCCCCCTATTGCTCACTTTCTGACTCTGTTTCCTTGGCAGGGCGGGGCCGGGGCGGGGCGGGGGTTGCATCTCAAAGCATCTCATCCTCTTTCTATGCTGGGCAATTCCCAGTTTGCCTGTCTTGGTCCTGCCCCAAGTGACTTTTGGATAGAGAATTGGTCCAACCCAGGTGCTGAGCACTTTCCCTTAGACTTAATAGAATGTTCCACAATCCCTATGCACATGGTGTGTGGTCTAGGTGGCCTGTTTCACTTTCTCTGTTTCTCAGCTCTCTGACCTGCACTGGCAGTTAAGACTCTGTAGCACTGGTGCTACAGGTTTTTCTGCTGCAGTGCTGGCTTGCTGTCAAGGCCCCCAGCAGGCTTCTGCTCCTGGAGGGCTGCCACTGCACTGGCTATCTATCATTAACCCAACTTCTGTAGCTGGCAGCTAGGGTCTCCACAGCACTGAGGTGGGGCAAGAGGGCAGGAGCATAGAAGAGCATGGGCTTAGGTTTTACTGGGTCTTTGCTGTTATGCAGCCTCATTGCTGGTAGTCTGGCAAAGGTATGCTAAGTGAGCTCAGAGTAGGCGTTATTTCATGAGTTTGGGGGTTTTTTTCCCTTCTTTTGGATTCTGGATGTCCTAGACCATGGCAACAGTTGAAATAGTTTTATCTTTGGAGCATAATTTCTGTTTTGGAGAGGTTTGAGTGGTTGTGGGAATCAGAGAAAATGTCTATTCCTTCTTTTTTTTTTTCAGCCAAAGACAAGGTTCATTAGAATATCCATCATACTGGGCAGACTCTTAAGGAGTCCGAACATCAGTAAGCTATTGGCTAGATTCTAAGAATCTGAGCAGTGGCTAGATTATAAGAATCCCAGCCTCTATTCCTTCATCTTATTGCCCCTAATAGTTTCCAAAACAAAGCAGTTCAGTGGAGTGAAGGTAAAAAGTGTTATTATAATTTACCTTAACTATATTTTTTCATCTCCTTATTTCTTCTAAGTGGTTTAGTCCCAATGCTTAGGAACTAGGGCAAAAATGAGCATTTACTGCTATAGTAACAGCTAAGATCTCTTCTACTTATAATGACCTCTTACTGTTGGTACTATAAGAACAACACACAGACTAATTAATTTGAAGTACAGAAGACTATCTATTTCAGATGTTTTAAAAACCCAATTTGTTGTTTTTATTTGCAGGCCCACGGTTTTCGAGATGTAGCTGTTCCTTCTCCATTATCTCCACCAATGGAACCTTCAGTGAACCCCCGAAAGCGGTCACGAGAAGCAAGGGAAGAAGAATAATATTTTAAAGATTTTTCATCTTGTGTAGCACAAAAATGTTGTAAAGACCATTAAATGCTGATTACAGTTTACACAGCAAACATTTTAAACAACCATAGAATGTCTCCAATATCAACAATTACCACAGTATTAAATTGACAATTTAAGACAGTCACATCAATTATAAAATGACATTACCAAATACTCATAAGTCATTTATTAAAACATTTGTATAGAATACACTCAAGCAACAAAAATGGTTGTAAATATTAAAATACATAAAATATGTACATAGTAAGTTAATATCATTAACTTGGAGCTTTTATAAAATAATTCATACTCTACCCATTTCATTATTAATATCCCTGTTGGTTATTAAACTCTCATCCCAGTAATATCCCAATAATACATTGTACATAAATATCTCTACCTAATTGCATAACAAACCTTCTAATTATATGTGATTTGATAATACTTGAACCTAATTTTAACCTTGACAGCACAGGATCATTAACAGGGTTCTTAACCTTCTAAAAGTACCCACAATCAAGGTGTCATAATACGTATTAAAGTCTTTTTGACCCTCATATTTATATTTCTTTCTTGCTCTGGCAGTCTTAGGCATACTATATTATTTTTGTTGAATGGAATAGTTGTAGCAATTCATTGCAGCTGTTGTAGTCCTGAGTTTAAAAGTATAGTTGTAGTGCCTCTTCTAAACTTGCAGCTGTGCTTAATACAGATTTAGATGAGGTCAACCACTCTCAGATCATGTCTACAGGTTGTGGTAGTACCTAGATGATATTGGCAGTGGGAAGTTTTTCTTCAATCCTCTTTTCCTTCAGCATTTATTTGTTGTGTTAACTAAATCATTAGGCGCTATTTAAAGGAACACAAACTAACCTTGACAGCAAAGGGACCTCCCTCAAAAACGAAGTATATAGGCAAGTAGAAGTTATTAAAGTTGATCAGTAGGACTGGTGGATCACTAATTTCATTAAACGTTTCACTAGGGTGCCAGCAGGTAACCACTAAAAGCCAATATGATGCTGTTATTGCTTAATTTCCATTCAATTAACTTTTGTTAAATTATAGATAGCCACATGTAATAATATTGCTGTTTGGATTGCAGAGTCGCCATTGAGGTAATGAACCTCACTGAATCATGTTTCACTGTTTTTCACTCTTATTCCCAAACAAAAATCAGCCTTCTCTACCTTCCACGTCCAGCTCCTTTCTTTTCTCTCCCCTTCCCCCTTCAAATTGAGAGAGCAAGAAAAACAAAACTCTGTTACAAGCATATATAATCAGACAAAACAAAATTTCTCATTGGCCTTTTAAAAAAATCTTGATCTGCATTCTGAGTCTGTCATCTCTCTGCCAGGAGCTGGGCAGCAGGTTTCATCATTAGTCCTCTAGAGCTATAGTTGATAATCCTGTTGATCAGAATTCCCAAGTTTTTTTTTTTAACTTATACTTATATATTAGCATGATATTATTATGGAGCAACTAGATGGTTCAGTGAATAGAGTGCTGGACCTGTAGTTAGACCTGAGTTCTAGTCTGGCCTCAGACACTTACTAGTCAAATGACCGGGGCAGGTCCCTTAACCTCTGTTTCCCTTAATCCACTGGAGAAGAAAACAGCAAACCACTCCAAGAAAAATCCTTGGGCAGTATTGGCATGCTGTAGTCCATGGGGTCACAAAGAGTTGGACCTGACTGAGCAATAATAAATAAATTATATATTGTATTTAATATAAATTCATTTATTTATCTAAAATATACATATATCTTGATATGTGTATATCTTAGATAAATATATTTGTATAATATTTAGATTTATAAATATATAAATATATTTATCTAAAATATACATATATCTTGATATGTGTATATCTTAGATAAATATATTTGTATAATATTTAGATTTATAAATATATAAATATAATATGACGTAAAAATATCTAAAAGCATAATACATTAATATAATGCCTACTAATATATAATATTTTTAAATATATGGCAATTTAAATACATGTGGCTTAGATTCCCATTCTTTGCCACCTTAAAAAAAAACCTACATATTTTTGTACATCCTTAGAATTGATATTGCTTAGTACTCTCTCCCTCAGTCTACCCTCCTAATTCCCCCTCCCCTCTTCTCACCTTTCCCTTGTATTTCAATGTTGAGTGCAATGTATTTCTGTACCCAACTGTGTATTCCTTCTTTTGACCAGTTTAGATGAGATTTATGTCAGTTACTCCCCCTACTCCCTCCTCCTTGCTTATAGATATATCTACTTGTACTACATCATTATTTTTCCTAACCTTTCTCTCCCTTCTCCACCCCCACCATACATCACAGTGTATTCCTCTTTCTATCTCTTTCCATTCTTAAGATCAAGACATAACAGAACTACTCCCAGGCCTTTTCTAATTCTAATTAAAATTTCTAAATTCTAATCCTTCTAAAAAGGACTCATGATTTTCCGGTTTTGGTCTGGTACATTTTCTAGATGTTAGGAAGAGTTTATGGGGAAGAGCTTCCTGTCACTTCCCTGCTTCAGTGTCAGCTATTGCTTCCTGTCACTACCTACCTTAGTGGAAAAGTTATCAGCACACAGATGTCAATAGTTGTGTCTGTTGAACTATATGACTGATATCAGAAACCACTGTCAATAAGTTCCCTGTCTTTAGGGCAAAGTCAATGATTTTATATTGACTCTGGGGGAGATTTAATGATTTCTTACCTGCCTTCATATTTGCTTTATCCAGAATACTGCATAAAGACCATAATATTCTTTGAAATATTTTAACAAGGAGCTTGAATTACCACAGTATAGAGTTGAAACTCAATTAAAAGACAACATGGATTATATTGACATTCCAGAACTAGAAGAAAGCTTTAATAAGTTTGACAAGTAAAAGCAATTTAAAATGCCACTAAGTATATGGCAGGCATTTACTAAGATCCCAAATTAGTAGCTTCAACTTCTGATTCTCAGCAGGAAAAACAACAAGGAGTTTCCACTTACACAGGGACTACAAGGTGCTCATTATTGTGCCAGCTATAGGAAGGTCTAGCAAGAACCTTTAATTTGCAAGCTAAAAAAAAAAAAGTCCAATTGGCATAAATATCTTTGTTGATTTTAAGCTTGATTTGAAATCAGAAATGCCTCTGTATTTTCATGGATAACCAGTGGTACTCTAAATAGCAGTTAGAAAATTGCATTTAAATTTTAAAGTTTCATTTTAATTGTTAGTAAAAAGCCACAAAGGGGCAGGATGATATAATATCTCAGAACTGGCCCTAAAGCCTGTAAGACCTATATAGAAATCCCACCTCTGACAAATAATGGTTTTGTGACCCTGGGCAAGTTACCTAATCTCAGTCCTTTAGGCAAATCAAAGACATGATCCACTTGCTTTGATAGAGGGAGTTTCTTCAACTGGGAGTTCCCTGTACTAATAAAATCACTATTGCAGTCCCTATCCAGTAAAAGGCTACGTGGATTTTACAAATTTTTACAGATAGAAATACTTTCTATACAAATATCCTAAATCTTTCAAAGCCCTATATGTACTTCATTTCCTGTGGGATAAGATGGTACTCTTAAAGTAGCTTATTAACCATTGATTTGATCATAAATTCAGTCGGATATCCTAATGTTTTTTTCTGGCAATAATGAATAAGTGCTACCACCATTCAAAACAGCATAAAGGCCATCTGGTGGCTTTTTCTCAGTCCGCATTCTTCTTGACCTCTCTGCAGTCTTTGGCACACTTGATCACTCTCTTGATACCTTCTTCTCTCTAGGCTTTCATGACACATAACCCTTTTCTGTCTAGGTTTTCATAACACTGCTTTCTTCTGGTTTTTCTTCTACCTGACTGTTTTCTCAGTCTCTTTTTGCTAGATCTTCGACTTTATCATTCCCACTAATCATTTCTACAAGACTGTCCTGTGTCCTCTCTCTTTTCTCTCTTAGTGATCTCATCAGTTCCCATGTATTCAATTATGTTTATACATATGATTTTCTGGTTTATCCAGCCTTCAGTTTTGCACCACCAGCTGCCTACTGGACATTTTGAAGGAGGTGTCCCATAGACATCTTAAACTCAGCATGTTCAAAATGGAATTTATCTTTAATTCCAAACCTTCCTTCTTCTGTTATTTCTGCCAAGGGCACCACCATTCTCCCAGTCATTCTGGTCCCTCAACTATTACAACAGTCTGCTGGTTAGTCTCCCAGCATCTGATGTATTCCCACTTTTGTCCACCCTTCACTCTGCTGCTAAAGTGAATCTCTTAAAGAGCAGGTCTGATCATGTCACTCAGTAAATCCCAGTGGCTTTTTATTGCCTGGAGGATGAAATGGAAAACATTTTTTATATATGTATGTGTATATACATATGTGTTTGTTGTGGTTTTCAACAACAGTAGATTGGATGATAAACATTACTTTGAAACATGACCTTAACCAAAAACATAGCGTATTTATACTGAGTAAAGATACAAAAAGCACAGAGGCACCCATACAAAAGTGTAAGAGGTAAGAAAATACAGGAGACAAACATTGCTTGTTATGGAATACAGTCACTGGATTGTGTAGTACAACTGCTGTTGCACTATTATTTCAACTGCAGTTTTAGGGGAAGGAAGGTATTAGGCGGTATTCGCACTTGTTAGACCACAAGCCTGACTTATTATAGCCCTTGAATAATGTTATGCTACATAAATTGGCTGTTCCAAAAGGGTGTCTGACCTTTTCTCAGAATCAGACAGTTGAGCAAGTTTTGTCTCAACATACCTATGACAGGTCAATTTGTAACTTTCAGACTCAGACCTGACAGAACAATTTAACATTGTTATAATGATGTCCTCCTGCTTGTATGAAATTCTGTGCCATTGTAGGAGAAACCCAAATGCCTTATGATAAATTTCAGTATCACTATGTATCTCTGAATCCACAATTATGGGGTTATGTGGTGGGATAACTTTCTTGTAGTATCTGCTGTTTCCTAATTGTAGCATGTATTAAAGTTTGTGATGCACTATTTTAAAGGATGTTAATGTGGAATAAAGTTCATTCAAGGAAAACGGGTAAGCCCTAGTCAATGAACTGCTCCCAAAGCACTATACTAATCCCAGGATTTCTTTGCCCATTCTTTCCTTGCAGCCTAGGAGTAGACCAGATCAATCCCATTATAACTTGCCTCATGAGGTAAATACATCAATTAAGGTATGGAATATGTCCTTTGTACCTCAGGCCATAGATTCCCCTTTCTAAGAACCATTATCATCTCTAGGCAACTCGTAAGTATGTAGTTGTTCTTCAGACTCTAGAAACTTAAAAAGATACTTGGAGACTATCAGAGTATGTCTCAAACACTAATCATTTATGGCACATGGTTGTGCCGTATTCTTGCTCCCATATTTGGTTTTCATGCACTTTGAAATACTGCTCATGAGTAAAGGGAATGTGGTTGAAACCGTGAAAATAATTTGCTTCAGATTTCCTTTCTATATCCTAACAATATTGAAAGAGCTGTCCTATTTGCAAAACCCAGAATGTGGAAAAGCCTATGAAAGTGAAAAGGTTAACTCATCCCATCATGAGGAATTTTTGTAAATACACAGGTTAATTTTATTCAAATGCTGCAATATTGCTCTTTGAATAAATAATAGTTGTATGTATTTAGAATGGACATGAGCCTGACCATGTAAAATATAGATACTGTCACAAGATTGGAAAGAATTTATTTGGGGACCCACTTTGAAGAAAGAATTGTAAGGAAATCTGCAAGAAATTTGCAACAGCACTTTTTATCACTTCAAACCTCCAGGGATTGTACAAAGGCATGGTAGACTTTTTAAAATGGGTTTAATTTGTGCTGAAAATGGATTTTTCTTTTTTGCCTTTTTTTTGGTGAGGCAGTCAGGGTTAAGTGACTTGCCCAGGGTCACACAGCTGGTAAGTGTCATGTGTCTGAGGCCAGATTTGAACTCAGGTCCTCCTGACTCAAAGGCCAGAACGCCATCCACTGCACCACCTAGCTGCCCCTGAAAATGGATTTAAAAGGCTAGATATTTTACTCTAGCCCTCGTGAATATGAGGCTTACTACTAACAAGGATAATTGGACTTAATGTGTGATTTTAATGGGCGTTCAGTTCTCTGACCTACAACTGGATGATGGTATTATTTTGAATCATTGTACAACACTAATGAAAGTATCAAAGCCTTCAATACACAGGTACAAGCTACCTTGCCCCCTGAATTGGAGAAATCCTGTCATATCAGCCCAGTGAGTCTATATGAAGATATATCACCAGAAGTTGTGTTTGCAACTCTGTGATATAGTTGGTCAAGACCATGCCAAATTCTCACCATTAGCAGTGTAGTAAAATGCCAAGGCCTTCCACCTCGAATTTATACTTTACACTGCAAAAAGACATCCACTCCAAGAATATAAACAAACAGCCGCCACTTATTTCACCTGAAATATCCCTGCCAACAGGTAGCAAGCCTAGAGTTGCCCACCTGGGAAATTTAAATCCAGGTGTGAGCCAAGTGCCTGCTGGTGAAA